GGCGATTTGTACCACACTACAGCCAAATCGCCGCCCCACTGACAGACCTAACCAGAAAGAAACATCCAAATGCAGTTCAGTGGATCAATGAGTGTCAAAAGGCCTTTAACCAGCTTAAGGCGACACTCATGTCTGACCCTGTGCTAAGGGCCTCAGACTTTGACAAACCATTCCTAGTAACCACAGATGCGTCCGAGCGTGGTGTGGGAGCAGTTTTAATGCAGGAAGGACCGGATCAAGAATTCCATCCTGTCGTGTTTCTCAGCAAGAAACTGTCTGAGAGGGAAAGCCACTGGTCAATCAGCGAAAAAGAATGCTATGCCATTGTGTACGCCCTGGAAAAGCTACGCCCATACGTTTGGGGACGGCATTTCCAACTACAAACCAACCATTCTGCGTTAACGTGGCTTCATACCGCCAAGGGAAAAAACAAAAAACTTCTTCGGTGGAGTTTAGCTCTTCAAGATTTCGACTTTGAAATTCAACACATTTCAGGGGCTTCTAACAAAGTGGCTGATGCACGCTCCGTGAAAGTTTCCCAGAATCAACTGGTTAAAATCGTCCTTGAAATGTGAAAAATCGTGTAGTTTTTACCTAAGTAGTAGTATATGTAAGGGTGCATGTGTTTTATTAATCTGTTTATTCTAAAGTTTAGAAAGAAATCACAGCCAGTGCGGTCCAACACTGTCTGAGATTTGGGGGGCGTGTCATAAACAGATAGTTAAGGGTTAATGCCTCTTTTACCTGTAAAGGGTTAAGAAGTTCACCTAGCCTAGCTGATACCTGACCAGAAGAACCAATGGGAGGACAAGATGGTTCAAAGGGAAGGAGAAAAGTTCCCTTTGTCTGTTGAGTTTCACTTTGGACTGGAGTGGGAAAGCGCCAGAATTCAGCCTCTTCTTAAGTAGTGAGTATTAGTGAAGGAAATAAATAGGTTTATGTTTATTTCTTTGTAACCTGTCTTGTGCAATTAGAGGAATGGTCAAATTGGGTATTTGGGTATTTTTTTTTTTTGTGTGTAACTAAGGGTTTGCCCAGGGGAACATCCTCTGTGTTTGGAATCTGTTGTCTGTGAGAGTAGCTGGTATGCTAATCTCTCCCAGAGGGTTTTCTTTTACCTTTCTTTTCTTTAATTAAAAGCCTTTTTCTTAATACCTGATTGATTTTTCCTTGATTTTAGATCCAAGGGGGTTGGCTCTTGATCCACCAGGAGTTGGTGGGAGAAAGGAGGGGGGATGGTTAATTTCTCCTTGTTTTAAGATCCAAGGGGTTTGGATCTGTATTCACCAGGGAATTGGTGAAGAGTCTCCCAAGGCTACCCAGGGAAGGGAATTAGCACATTGGGAGTGGTGGCAACAGACTAGATCTAAGCTGGTAGTTAAGCTTAGAAGTTTTCATGCAGGCCCCCACATCTGTACCCTAAAGTTCAGAGTGGGGAAGGAGCCTTGACAGTAGGCTCTAAAGTTTCACATTGAGTGCAGTTATGTAACCAAAAAAAAAATCTACATTTGTAAATTGCACTTTCACGATAAAGAGATCGCACTACACTACTTGTATGAGGTGAACTAAAAATACTGTTTCTTTTGTTTATCATTTTTACAGTGCAAATATTTGTAATAAAATATAATATAAAGTGAGCAATGTACACTTTGTAGTCTATGTTGTAATTTAAATAAATATATTTGAAAATGTAGAAAAAATCCAAAAATAGTTAATACATTTCAATTGGTATTCTATTGTTTAACCGTGCGATTAAAATGGCGATTAATTGTGATTAATTTTTTTGAGTTATCATGTGAGTTAACTGCGATTAATTGACAACTCTAATATAATATGAGAGAAACAATTTTTCAAGTTCCTAAGAAATGCATAACTTAATTGGCTTATACCTTTTATGATTATCAATTTATCCTCCTTCACAGTTCTATTAAGTATTATTACAGTATTATTAAGGCAAAGTCTATTTACTACCTTTTACTACGATCTTAAAAAAAATCTGCTTCCTGTAAAGGGTATTGAAATATTATTCTGTTTTACAGGGGCCATAGTCTTATTTCATCTTTATGTTCTCTTCAATGTTGTAGAGGCACTGAGAATTATTTATAAGGAAAACACCCCACAAACTTTTAGGCCTGAAGGTCTTAAAATTTTCGCCCTGTCATTACTTGGCAGAACAAGTGAACAGCTCAAGCTTAAGTCTTTATTTCCTTCAAGTCAGCAGAATTAACTTATCTTAAAATGAAGATCTGCTTACAAAGCATGATGTATATATACACACAATACATACTTAATTTCCATCCCCCATCCCCAACTCTACTTTTACCTCTTCTAAGTAAAAGAAGGTTTAATAATCTAATCCCTATTACACCACAAGGAATTTGGGGGAATTTTAATTCTTCCAAAGAGCTTAATGTATCTTGCCATTTTAAAATAATATAGTCTTTAATATAAGATTCCATACACAAATAGAGTAAAAGCAACATGATGCTGACAGAATATCTTTTTACATAAAAATCTGTGGTTACCAAAAGCACGTGTTGAAAATTAGTTCCTCTATAAGATTAACTGAATCCTGATACTCAGTATTACAGTTTGCAACACATTTTCAGTTTGAACAGCATAAGCAGGGGAAAAACTCACATGGGAAGAGACCTAGTTAGTACATTTTTTAAATACTTGCAGCAATTAAAATTTAGGTTCAGCTTTTGGTTTGACTAGCAATTTGTGCTTTTAGTGGAAGACAAAGATATTATTAATGTCAAGATCTCAGCTCTGAGTTTTCAGAGTCCTTCCTGGCTTAAAATGTATTATGTTAAAGTCCACTCACCAGAGAGAATTTCTAAGCACAGCAGGTACAAGAATGGCTTTCTGTTTTATCACATCGTATTTGAAGATCTGCTTAGCTATTATAAGAAACCAGAGCCTATTAGCAATGGTTGCCATTGCAAACTCCACATTTCCCTTGTTCCGCCACATACTGAATATATCAAAGGACAGTTTTAGAAATTTTTTCTTCTCCATCTCCCCTCCCCACAACATTGGGGTAAACATATAGAACTCCTCATAAGAAATTTTATATTTTAAAGGTGTTTTATGAGCCCATAATTTTAAAACAGACTTTAAAAATTGAATTTTAATAGGTTATTAAGCCTATGATATAAACTAATTAATTTGCATCCTAGAGTTAAAGAACTGGCTAAGGAACCACTGACTATTTTCAAAAAATTCCTGGAGAACTGGGGAACTACAAGAAGTCTGAAGTAAACATATGTGGTTCTGTTTTTCAAAAATGGAAAACTGATCCTGGCAATTACTGTCTTCTTGGAATAATGCAATGCTCTCTCTCTCTGGAGATAATAAAATTCAGCTAGTGCAAAATGAGGTAGTCCACTTAGTAGGGCCATGTCTCCACTACACACCACTTTTCGGTGGAGTGTAAAATATGTGCAGAGCCCTGTGCGGATACAACATTTATATCTGCGGATGTGGATATCTGCGGAGCTACAGGGCTCTACCAGGAACCGCAGTGACAAAAGCAGCAGCATGTTGGGCCGCCGCTGGCAGGAGCCAGCGTCCAGCCCGGGCAGCTCCTCCGGTGTGGCTGTACCGCCCCCAGCCCTGCCCACTGGGTGGGCACCAGGATCACCAGCAGCTGTCCCTGGTCACAGTAGCATGTGAAACTGGCTCGCAAGCTCCCAGACAGGAGACGCACGCTGCTGCACAGAAGAGATTCCTATGGGGGAGCTTGTGAATCACTTGCACACACTAGTGTGACCAGGGACAGCTGCTGGTGAGTCCGGTGCCTGTTTTATATCCGTGGATATAAATGTTGTATCCAAGCAGGGCACTAGGCATATGTAGCTACACGTCAAACAAAAAGCAAGCTGCGGCCACACTGTGGTGTGTAGCTACACATGTCAGTGAAAGGCTCTGGCAGGAGGGAGGCAGCGGAGGAAGAGTCTGGCAGTGGGGAGCTGGTGGAGACTTTCCCCACTGCTGGAGTCCTTCCTTATCTGTAGTGGGGGAAAGCTCTAGTGGTGGGGAGCTACCGGAATCTTTCCCTGTGGTGGGAAAAGGTTCCAGCAGCTGAAAGGCAGTGGGACACTACACAGTAAAAATAGCAGTAGAGTTGGGATGGCACAGCTTGGGTGAGAGTAGAAAGCCATATAGGGTATGTATTTGGGTACACACCCATACCGTTTAGGTGTGTCTGTACTCTATCCACCTCAGCTGTGCCTCATTGTCTACACTGCTCTTTAAACCCATGCTAATGGGGCTACCCTGAGTATATACTCTACACACTGCTGAAAGAAGAGTGCAGTATTAACATAGCCTTAGAGATAGAGTGCTCACCTCTGTCTTATTAGCCTGAATATATGAACCGACACACACACTGCAAAATGTCTTAAAAACTGGAAAAAGGGTAAAGATGAACAATGTTGACTGAGTTGGAAAGTATCTAGTGGGATAAGAGAAGGAAAAAGTCCTAGGTCTACTTTTATTTAACATGATCATCAGTGATCTCAAAAAAGGGGATAAACTTATTAATGAAATTTACAGAGGCTGCTAAATTGAGTGCGGTTGGAAACTCCAAAAGGGATAAATACTATGAAGGGATCTAAAAAGATGAAGGGATGGTAAGAAACTTGAAATACCTTGGGGCAACTGCAAACATTCTATACAAAATCCCTTGAACCGTAAGGTACTTTGCCCTTAAATTTTGTGGCAAGGTCTCCAGGTTTCTTCGTTACTTTGGTGCAACTGATGAGAGTCTAAGAGGAGTTTAACTCACTTTTAAAAATTGAGGTGTTTATTGATTTGAGTATGAAAATGAACAATACAATCAGCATCGTAGCCCCTATTTTATTCATTTTTATATTAAATTGAGGCCCTGAGAGCAAGAGGGACATAGGGACCCAGATTTGGTTCACTGAATTACCTTGCCACAAGAAAAGCATTGAAGAACAACGGAAGAACATTTTTGTTGCCCTTCTCTGATTAGGGGTATGGAACAGTTTCCATATGAGGAGAGATTAAAAAGTTTAGAAAAGAGAAGACCAAGAGGGGCTATGATAGAGGTCTGTAAAATCATGAAGGGTGTGGAGAAAGTGAATAATAAAGTGTTATTTACCCCTTCACATAAACACAAGAACCAGAGATCACCAAATGAAATTAATAGGAGCAGGTTTAAAACAAACAAAAGGAAGTATTTCTTCCCACAACTCGCAGTCAACCTGTTGAAAACATTGCCAGGGGATGTTGTGAAGGCCAAAATTATAACTGGGATCCAAAAAAAAATTAGATAAATTTATGGAGGATAGGTCCATTAATGGCTACTAGCCAAGATGCAACCCCATGTTCTAGGTGTCCCTAAGCCTCAGACTGCCAGATGTTGGGACTGGAGAACAGAGGATGGTTCACTTGATAATTGCCCTGTTCTGTTCATTCCCTCTGAAGCATCTGGCACCAGCCACTGTTGGAAGACAGAGTACTGGGTTAGATGGACCACTGGTCTGACCCAGTATGGCTGTTCTTAACTTTATTCCTAATTCCCTGGTTTAATCAGCAATTTCTGTAGTGAAGAAATTAATTGGATAAACTATATTGAAATTTATTTTGTGGGGGTTTTATGACACTTATTGCAAATATATCTGAGCACATCACATACAATACATGAATTTTTCCACGTAACAGCTCTGTGAGGTATGGAAGTATTATCTCCATTTTACACATGGGGAACTGAGTCACAGTGTGACTAAGTGATTTGCCCTTGGTCACACAAGCAGTATGTGTGGGAGCCAGAAAGAGAACTCAGATATTTTATGTTCCAGACCAGTTCCTGATAGATAAGAAGATTCTCCCTCTACAACACAGAAACGTACATACCACAGAAATATATAAACTTGTAGGAGAAAAAAGCCAGGAGGGAGTAAGCTCTTGCTGTTACTCCATGTAAAGCACAGCAAATATAGGGAAAGAGGAAGAGATAAACTGTTGTCTGCATTCATAAAAGATAATCCTGCATTTTCATTGTGTGACACAGGAGACTCTATCAAGAGCAGACTGGTCTGATTTCTGTCAGAAAACTTTATTTTTGGCATGAAGAGAATTCATAAAATTAAGATGAATTGGTGGTGGGGGCCTCTGGTCATTGAACTAAAAATCTTAAACACCGATTTTTCTCAACACATAGTGTTTCATGCAAGACCGATAACTCACTCTTCCCCAAGATGGTTGAGAGTGTAAGAGTGAGCGAGAGAGAGAGAGGGGGCTGTATTAAGCCTGTTGAGATGGGGTTGAATGGGAGCGATAAATGTCCAAATGCCTTAAAGTCACTCCTTAGTCAGAACCACGAGGTAACTGCGAATTTAATGTTACCTACCTCAAATTGAATGAGTACTGTCCCACTTTCCAGCCCTTTCTTCAGTTGTTCCATAGACCCCTCTAGTGTGTCACCATACTCTGAACACGTGCGAAGAATGGATTCTAGAAAATTCTGGGAATCTGCTTCATCTTCTGACTTGGTCTCAACCAAGGGTTGGGCAACTGAAAGACAGAGGCAAATTTAGACTTTTTACATGCATCCAGTAGCAATCTTTAGTTATGTTAAAACCTACTTGAATACAAGCATGGACATTTTCAATCCTCCTCGATGCTGTAAATTGGGCTACTAATCCCAAACTGAGATATCTAAATAAATTTGGCCATAGTTTTACACATGCTGACCAACCCCAGCTCTGCACAAATCTGTAAGAGTTCAACACCTTTGAAAAATGAGACCAATGATTTAGGTGCCCAAATATGGGTAAGACCATAAGCATCCAAGTTTCAAAAGTTTAATCTAATGATACACCCGCAGCCCTATCGCGTACATTTTTGGGTAGGCAAACAAGTAACAACCACCACAGGAAGAAGCTGTGAATTTCACCTAGTGAAATTTAGAACAAAATTTATAAATATGCCTATTTCAAGAATGATAAAATGAGCCTTCTGGATTTGTTGTATATTACATTTTTCATTGTATGTTTGTGCTGGGGAGAATTTAGTGTTATTGCCACATCTGGAATAGAAGTTTTAGAAGATGGTACTGTATTTTAAAATGTTGATCAAAATGTTTTTTTGTGGAAGAAACTATTTATTTATACCACTGCAAAAATTAAAATTAAGCGGAAACTTACTGCCATATCTTTTATTTAAAATTAGTATTGTTTAGTATTCTCAGAATATTCACCCACTTAGGTCTATACTCTTCACTTTGACTAAAACCTCACCAAAACTGCAGTTGTATGATGCAAAAAACCCAGCATTCTGAGTTGATGTGCTCCTCACTTGAATGTATAAGGCTAATGGCTCAAACATTTGTGTTAGTAATCAAGAAGAGAGAAGATCTCAAATGTTACCACTCTATTTTAATACAGACCCATTCACAGTATAACTCTTGATTATGAATATATTAAAGTAAATTGCAAGGGGAAAAAGCCACAATTTAAAGGCATGACAGTCTCAATTACATTTAAAAACCTTAGTGCAGTTACCTTTCCGCCTGACCAGAAGTGCAAGCTCTCTTGTGTGCAATTCTCTGCTGGCTTTTATAAACATTACCACTTGGTCATGAGTATGCTCTGAGATGTCTCGACCATTGATTAACACTATCTGATCACCTTCATTCAGTTTTGGAATACATGTATCAGCCTGTTTCACAACCAAAGAAAAAAAAAATCAGTTTATCCAATACCTTCAGTAGAACATTTCTAATCTCAGGGAGACTGAATTCATCGTGCAGCAAAGACAAAGTTATTCTCTTGACAAAGTCTTGCCCTCTGTATCAGAAGCTATGTCAGAGGATTCAGATCTAAAATTGTTCTAGTGGCTTCAGAATGAAGATGAGAGTAACAGTTCACACAGCCTATTAACAGCTATACAAAAGTTTGCACTTGATATGTTTTATGCATCTGAGCTTTACAATCTGGACTTTTACAAAGATTTTGAAAAATGTCACACACATAAAAGAGAGCAGAGTGACTAAAATAGCAAAGAATAGGAGTAAGTTTCAATTTATATTGAATAAAAATGCTTTATAACATTAGTTTCGCTCCATCATCATACATGGAAACTGAAGATTAATATTAAGTACCATATATGAGGGCTGTTCCTACATTACACATAATTGGTTTTACTGAACTATAAACACAACTGATGATTTATGCATTTTTGTTAGATTCATACAAGCTGCTTCTTGTTCCACAGGGGAGAACCGATCAAATGCTACTGGGGAGTTAGCAGCTTTATTCCTGCTTCCCCATTAACAATTTTCCAAGTAAGATGGTGTGGATAGGTCCTTTGATCTCCAACACCCAGAGGCGCCACCCTTAGGGGCAAATCCTATTCCAGCCTCTGCAGCCACAGAAGGTGGCAGGAATTAGGTATGCCATGCATGCTGAGAACACTCCCTGATTGTGGGAAGATCTGCTAGAATCCTCCCTGTACTGGACTTGGCACCGGGCTTTGGAATTTCTCCTCAGTTCTTCATCAGTGCTCTTTAGGACTCAGCAGATCTGAGTCCAAAGCAAGGCTGTTTGAGTAAAGATCCTGTGCAGTCAAAAATCCCTCTGGGAGAGGCCTGCTAGGAGCAGAACAAAATCACTCATGTTTGCTTGTCCCTAGCAAAAACGGATATTCTGTTCTGGAGGCACCCAGCAGCATCAGAATGAAGCCTAGATGCACTAGAGATCTGCCCATCCTTTCAACCTAATCTGAATTGCTCCCCCACCTATACCTGTTGGTGTTGCAGAGCTTCACGAATCAATGTCTGTTCACCCAATGTTATTTATGCTGCCAAAAAACAGGAATTAGAACAAGTCGTCCTGATTAACACTTTTCTCCCTGCCCTGGTTTACATGTTTCAGGATGAATGGGGAACAGCTGAAGGACTGAGGTAGAGAAGTGGGCTAATGGCAAATAGCATTTGCAGGAAGAAATGAGAGATGATGTAAAGAAACGGTGAGATTGGCAAAACCAAGAGGGAGAGAAAGACAAAAAGGGGAAATCTGCAGGAAGAAAAGGGTGACCTGAGTAGGTGGGGAGAGAAACAAGGGAACAACCAGTGGACCAAATTTGGTGATGAATCATGGTCATGTACCACCTGAGGCACTTTGCACATATGCTAAGACGACAAACTAACAGGTGGGAGTGTGAAAGACACAATCAGATAAGGGGGAAAGAAAATAGTGAAATGGAAGAGAAAACATAAGCAAAATGGAAAAGCTGCAGTTCCAGCATGGAAAAAGGGAAGAGGCAGTGTGCTGAGGTGTGTGGGTGTTTTAAGAAAGACATAAAAAAGGAGGGAAAGAAAAGAAGAAAGGAGGGAAAATAGTTAAGATGGAGAGAACTGAAAATGATGAATGAAGAAGGGAAAAAAATGCAAAAAGGCAAAGAAAAAATCTTAAAGGACAGCCAGAACATTTAGTGGCCATTATTTGAATTCCCCGGCTTTAGTAGTTCCCTGGAAAAGTCCCTACTACTCTGTACTTTTTCAGAAAGCAGGATTGTACAATGCTATTGCTGTGGATGTTTGTCTTACTATTTTGTGATATTACCATTTGTCATATATTTTAAAAAGTTACACGTCACGGCAGCAGGTAGCTTTTTGGAATCTCAAGGATTGATCTGGAATGCAGAGGGAAAGGTTTCAAAATCTTTTTTATAGAGTAGAACCTCAGAGTTATGGACACCTCGGGAATGGAGGTCGTCTGTAACTCTGAAATGTTCTGTAACTCTAAACAAGACTTCAGCCGGGGGGGGGTTGGGGCTGCAGCCACAGGATATGTGTATGGGGTCAGGGTCAGGGCTCTGGGTAGGGGGGAAGGATCTGGGTTTCTGACCCTTGGGGCACTAGGGTTCCGGGCGGGGTGCTCTGGGCTTCTGTCCCGCCCGAGCACTGGGGCTCAAGGCTTTAGACCTGGGGGGGAGTGCTGGGGCTCGGGGCTTCAGCTCCATGGCTGCATTCCGCTCTAAGCTGCAGTGAGGGGGGTCACCAGGGCCCGGGGCGTTAGCTACGGGGGGAGAGGTGGGGCTGAAATCAGCACTCCCCTCATAGCGAAAGCTCCAAGCCCAGTGCCCCAGCGGGGCTGAAACTGGGAGCGGAGCCATGGGGCTGAAACTCCGAGCCCCAGCACTCTCCCCAGTCTAAAGCCCTGAGCCCCGAGCTCCCCACCCTCACCCGGAGGCCTGACCCCCCCTCATGACTGTAGCCCCAACCCCTTGTGGGTGAAGCCCTGAGCCTCCATGCCCCCCACGGTGCTTAAGCCCTGAGCTCCAGCGCTCCCCCCGGTCTAAAGCCCTGAGCCCCAGTGCTCCTGAGGGTCAGAAGCCCTGAGCCTCCCCTCCACCCAGAGCCCTGAATTCTCCCCTCACTATGCAGCTGCAGCCCCAACCCCACCGTGGCAGAAGCCCTGAGCCCCAGGGCTAAAGCCCTGAGGCAGTACAGTATTTGCCTTAGAATCATAGAATATCAGGGTTGAAAGGAACCTCAGGAGGCCATCTAGTCCAACCCCCTGCTCAAAGCAGGACCAATCCCCAGACAGATTTTTGCCCCAGATCCCTAAATGGCCCCCTCAAGGATTGAACTCACAACCCTGGGTATAGCAGGCCAATGCTCAAACCACTGAACAACCCCTCCCCCCTGCCCTTTTTTTGTGTGTGTGTGTCTCTGTGCTGCTGCCTGATTGATGACTTCCGGTTCCACAGGTGTCTGGTTGGCCAGTAAGTCCGCAACTCTGGTGTTACTATCTCTGAGATTCTACTCTACAGCAAGGCTACATCTTCACTAGATACTGCAGTGGCACGTCTGCAGTGCTGTAGCTGCGCTACTGTAGTGCTTCAGTGTAGATACTCACTACAACGATTCAAGGGGTTCTCCCACCACTGAAGTTAATCCACATCCCTGAGAGGTGGCAGCTAGGTGAACAGAAGAATTCTTCCATCAACCTAGCACTGTCTACCCTGGGGGTTAGGTTGGCTTAATGATGTTGCTCAGGGGGTTAGATTTTTCCACAACCCTGAGTGATGTAGCTGGGTCAACTGAACTTTTTAGTATAGACCCGGATTTAATCAAGTGAATCAAACAAGAAAGCAGAGAGTGGATTGTGAGGCATCAACATTTTACAGTGATTAACAGTTTCCCTGGAAGTTGACATTCTTCTCTACCAGTCACCAAGAATGCTAGCTGTTAGCCAGCCACTTACTAAGGAATCCACAATGCACACAGAGAGGTATCTAGGAGTGGAATTAATCCTTTCAATGCAGGTACAATATAAATCTTTTTCAGAGATCAAACTTTTCAAGACAATGGTGCTAATGCCTTTTCATCCAGTTTAAGCCGCCAAAGTTTGGTATAATACCAAGCACTTCTTTTTTGGTCCTAAAAATTCCCCATATTGTTTTCAATCAATTATAATGTTAATGTCTTCCTCGTTATCCTGTTAGGACATTAAACTATTGACTTTTTAACATGTAGTACTTTTAAATGTCACCTACATTTAACTATAGTTCCATTTCTTCATTCTTGCATTGTCTTCCACCCAAAGTAGTTAGATGGATCTCCCTTCGCTAGAGCCACAAAAGTTAATCTACCCACAGGTATTCCCAGATGAGTATTATTCTTTAACTAGAGGTAGATTGCTTTAAATTATATTTTCAATTACTTTCGGATCTAGAAGGGAAAACACCTGATTTATTTGGCTGCATATGTTTGTTCAAATAATTCCAGAACCTCTTTTGGGAAGAGAAGAAAAAGTGACTTGCACAATCTGGAAAGATAATGTGGGAATATACCAAGTAGTTCCCCGGAGGTGAAACGTACCAATAATGAGTCGTTCTGGAGCAAATTAATGAAGTAGCAAAAAGGATGAAAAGATTATAACATTAAGAATTTCTAGTTTTGTAGCCAGAATAGTCTACAGATGCTCTGCATACCACATTAAAAGTGAACATTCATGTGTCAGCTACATCTTCTTATTAAACAACCAGGAACTGATACTATTTTCCACAAAAAGTACAGTGTAAGACCAACAGTAATCTTGCAGTACAGTAGAACCTCAGAGTTATGAACACCAGAGTTACAAATTGACCAGTCAACCACACACCTCATTTGGAACTGGAAGTATGCAATCAGGCAGCAGCAGAGATGAAAAAAAAGAGGAAATACAGTACAATAGTGTGTTAAATATAAACAACTAAATAAATAAAGGTAAAGTTTAAAAAAGATTTGATAAGGTAAGGAAATTGTTCTTGTGCTTGTTTCATTTAAATTAAGATGGTTAAAAGCAGGTTTTTTCTTCTGCATAGTAAAGTTTCAAAGCTGTATTAAGTGAAAAGTTGTAAACTTTTGAAAGAACCATAATGTTTTGTTCAGAGTTATGAACATTTCAGGGTTACGAACAACCTCCATTCTCAAGGTGTTCTTAACTCTGAGGTTCTACTGTATTCCTACTGTAGAAATACTTCTACTGAGGTTCTACTGTATTTCAGAAAATGTAACTTGTTGCTTTTAGTTGACATGTAAAGTTATCTCTTTCCCATAAAACAAATTCAATGTTCTGGTTAAAAGGTTCCCAAACTGTGCTTCCTGCCCCTTGTTCACTTGCTTGGTGGTCTGTCAGGAGAGCACTAAATTGTCATGTGGGGCTGGCTCCTCTGTTTCCCGTTCATACATTTCTCGGAGACAACTACAAATTCATTAAATTGCATAATTTTATTTATTCATGAAAGCTGAATAAAAGCAAGCTATAGCTGCCACATGGATGTTACATGATGACAAAGATAGGTAATGTGGGCTACACATTCATGATTGGGGCAGGATGTGGGACACAAGTCAATTTCTCTATTATGATGTAGTCTGTGCTATGAAAAAGTTAGAGAATTCTTGCGTTATACTGTGGTTCAATTACAATGAAACCTTTCTTTTTGAAACTTCTGCAATATGCAGACTGCAGCAGAAACCACACAGATTCATATCAAATTAAAATTGGTATTATCTCAATTTGTTATAAAAGTTTGGAAAATACACTTTGAAGTATATGCCCAAAATAAAACCTTAAAATAAAATGCATTTGTCCTTCCAAATTTGATTTAGATGATGCATCTATTGTACTAGTAATAAAAAAAGACATTTCAGCTATGTGTTACAACATATTCAGATACTGGAAAAAAATTAGCTTTGCTACAGAGCCATACACTGAAGAATTACATGAGGATTTACTTACAGATGATCCTGGAGTTATTCTTGACACCACCAGAGGCATTTTTTGATCAACACCACCCTACAAGATGTTAAGTAAACAGTGACTATAAATATACTCTTTGAATGTAAGCAGTACATTATACAACAAATAGTCTATTTTTTGTTCCTATGTGAATATAAAACTTATGCTTTGTACTTCACTGTCATGGACTTGACCTTGCAAGGTGCTCAGTACTCATGCTTAAGTGCTATGCTGAACTGGGACCAGAGAACTCAGCAACTTGCAGGATCAAACGATGAGTCTCAAACCAACCACATTTCTTTAGCCCTTTTATATTTTATATGCCACTGAAGTCTTATGGACATAAAACACATCTTCCCCAGGACTCATGAATGAAACAGATGACCTAACAATGCCCATGAATAAGTGACAGGGATCAGATAGAACTGGAGCCTGATTCTCATTTTCACTATAGCTACTTCATAGCATTCAGGCAGTGTAACAGGGCCTTAAAATGGACATTAATCAGAAAGTACAGAAGCTGCCGCCGCACCTCCTTCCCCAATTCCTTCATTTACTAGTTTTTACCTTTGCAATAATTAGCTCATCACTGGGTGCACACACACCATTAAGATGTTTTGTTGATGGTAAAACATGAAGGGCCTACTTCTCCAAAAATAAGCGCCTGAAGTTAGGCTCCATAGTCCACTTGTAGGCACCTGAATAAATGATCTGCTTTTCAAATGTGTTGGACATACAGCAATTTCTACTAAAGACAACAGAAGCAGTTGGATGCTTGCTTTAGTCAATGAGGCCATTATTTGGGTGCCTATATAAACAATTTAGGAACTTAATCTTAAGCATCTGTTTCTGAAAAATCTTGGCTAGAGTTTTTAACTCTTCAAAAAAAAAAAAAATCCTCGTAGGACAGCAAAGGATCATCATATCCCTTAATCTCTTACCTCTGATGCAAACATGGACATTAAAAATGGAAACAATATTGATTTGATCAGTTAAGACACTAGTTACTTAACTATGTTGCACGCTCATGAGATTTTAAGGCTCCCTTTTTACCTTCAGATTAAATCCAAATTTCCCATCTTCATCTGGAGTGATTCGCACCAAAAGCAAATCTCCATCAATTACTTCATTCTGCAACACATTAAAAAAAAAAATCTTCTAAGATTTTCTACTTCTTAACACAAAATAATGGCAAAAAAGAACACAATATTTCCTATACAGATTAATTCATATTAGAAAAAGAAAAAAGTAAATGTGGTAAAAATGAAGAGGAGCTAGGATTGTACCGTACACAAAAATTGTTTGTATTTTCCTGTTTATTATACTGGAAATGGCAGAGACTACCACAATTAATGATGCATAATGGTTTCGATCATAAGCTTGTTGCCCATAATTTTCAGAAATTGTCACCTCCTCAATGCCTGATCCCTGGCCAAAGAGGACTTTTTGTTAAGTTTCAGACAAAAGTAGGCTAGACATTAGTGATTTCAAGAACTATAAAAAATAAACTTTTCCATAAAAAAATGTATTTGGAATCTTTTTGAAAAGTCCCACAAGCCAGAGTGTCTGAATTTTGAGGTGTAAAATTTGGCATTGAAATAATCTTCATTGAGGGGTAGTTCACTTTATGGATCCACAGCAGAATTAACTGCGATTAGACTGAGTTACTGGCCTTTGAAAATTGCATGCTGAGCATACTTAGATTTTTCAAAACTATAATCTAAAGTGCAAAACTTAGAAAATAATGGCTGCACATAGAGCTGGTTGAAAAATCTTACTGACCAATTTTCCATCAGAAAATTAAGTGTCGTTGAAATTGAAACGTTTTGCTGAAATCAAAACTTTTTGCAGAGACACGCTGATGACAAACTTTTTGATGGGAAAAATCTAAATGATTAATTTCAACTTTCTTGTCTCATTTAATTTGTGTTTGACTTTCATATTATATTATATATTATATATTATAATACAATGTTTTAACATTATCAAAATAAAACATTTTTATGTATCTGAATCAATTCCACAAGAAATTTCATCTTTTTGTTTCAATTCAAAATGTTGATATTACCAGCAGGATGGAGTCCATTTTTTGACCAGCTCTACATGCATATATCCATGCAACTGATTCAGCTACAGATTTAAACCTTTAAGGACAGCAAGCACAGGGGTGCTAGTTTTAGAAACTGTTAAAATATATTAAGTGAACTGCCAATATCCTCACAACAAAAAGCACAGGAAATGCAAATTTGTCTGAATAACTTGCATAAATTTGAGTATATTTACATAAAATTGTTTAGAACTAGGGAAAGAGATGCACAATCAAAGAAACAGAGACAGGCAAAGGAAAGTGGGGGAGGAGAAGAGGGAATGGGAAATCCCAGCATTTGATTGTTTTCCTCCTCCTCGCTTGCCCACATCAACATTTCATTCCTTCACCCCAAGAAATATCGTTTTATGAACCATCCACAACATTTCATTGCAATTATCCCCTTCTTTGCCCTGAAGCATTTTAATTTAATCTTCCCCCAATAGCATTTCACACTCCCCACCAAGGGGTTTAATTTTAGCTATTACACCCTCCACCCTAGCATTCCCTGCCACACCCTAGGCATTTTTACTCTACCATACACCTCTCCCCCACTCCACTTTCCACAAGTGGTTTAGTTTGGCAGTCCCCTGTATAGGAGGGAGAGGGGTGGGGGTAGCATTCAGGAAAACAGGAGGGGAGGGGAAGGTTGTTAGGCCCCTGGAAGACTTGTGAGGCTGGGGAGGGGAAGCAATAAGCGGGCTTTGGGGCTAGGTGTGGTGCTTGGGAATAGTCAGCACAGCACTGGAGTTGGTAGTAGTGAGGGAAATCAGGGGCCCTGGGCAGCAGCCCTCTCTGGAGGGGATGGGGAAAAGGGGTTAGAGAGATTGGGCGGCAAGGGGAGCCAGAGAGTGGTGGGCAGCTGTTGCCTGCTGTCTATGCTGAGGGGCACTGCTGTCTATCGGCATGTATAACAGCTCTGACTGGCTTTTCTTCCTCCAGAGATGGGGAATTAGGGCAAAGGGCATACAACTACATGGGGCTTTCCCCTTAAATTAGGGGTTTTCTCTGCAGGTGGGTCTGAAAATTTGGAGCCTATGGAAAACCCACAGAGCTGGCAGACTTGCCTGCCACATTGCATAGTGTTTTCCTCTTTGGTAAATGTAGACCTTAATAAACCAGACTTACTCTTATTAGTGCATGCCATTAAACATGTATATTATGCAACAGACAAGTTAACATTGCTGGAAAACCCTACGAATGCTTTATCTCACAGACTGGATGCACATTTATACTAGGCCTTCTCCGTTTTCATTTAATTCAGCCTTGTTAAACAACTTACCTTATCACAGTAGTACTGACTGGAATCTTCTGTTAAGCTCCCTTTTGTGACGTTGTCATATGTTTCTAAAAACTGTTTGTCCACCCCATCCAATGGATAAGAGCCTGAAAAGTTACCAACTCCATTGGGAGACTGGGACAAGGCAATCGGTGAGGTATGAGTCAGACAGTTCTGTGTTGGACTATTTTCCAATACATTCCTTCATTAAAAGAAAAAGATAAAGTACATTAAAAAGGTACTAATATTCATGGGTTTAAGCTCAACATACAGTAGTAATTACAAACATGTAATATCAACTTCTTATAGCAGAGCATCAGTTAAAATTGAGTGTCACTTTCTATTTAACAGTAGACTATTCTAAATGCTCTAAAATCCATTACTTGGATTATCTTCAAATTTGCTGTGCCTCACAGGAGTGGGGGATAAGGTGATTTGGTCAAAATTTGGGGTCATTTGAACAAGGCATTCATGAGATATGAGCTACCCCACAGAAAAATCCAACATCTGTTGACAAAATCATTTGGTTTTTTAAACTTTTTTGCGAACATCTGGGGCTGAAACTATGTCTCTAATCCTCCTGAAACTGATCTCAGTCACTTGGCATTTATCCCAGCTGCTGGGGAAGCAATATTGAAAATACTGAAAAAGTTGTTAAAGGTAAAGTTTATAGAAGTTACATCTCTGCCTTCCCCCCCCCCCCCCCCCCCCCGAGCTTTCCCACATCCATAGCTCCTATTTCTTTTCCCCCTTTAAAACTGAGGAAGAGTGGGGAGCTGGGTGTTCAGTAAAATGGCACAGTACACAGCACTGAGATAGTAGTGGGGATGTTTTCATTCAACACAGAACACCTCACTGATATTAATGAGCCACTTCACACTTCTCTGAGTTTCCTATACTGCAGATTGATTTGTAGAGCTCCTTCCCCATACACTAGGCCCAGCTCTGGAGTAGTGGACTTGGCAAGTATGAGGGCGGAACCAGTATGTGCACATAAGGGAAGAGCAGGGGTCAGAGTAGTGGAGGTTTGTAGGCGGGGGGGGGGGGGGTAGTCAGAGCAGTGGGCACGAGGAGGTGACCATTGGAAGTCATGGAGCAGTGTCGGACCAGTGGTGGGGAATTCTGAGCAGTGTGGAAGAATTTAGGAGCAATTAAAGGGTTGTCGGAGCAGTGCAGGAAAGAGTGGGGTGCAAAGGAAAGCTGTAGGAATGTTGGGGGCTTTGAACTCTGTCCCCCAAAACCCTCTCTCATCCATTTCCCCCCTCGCTCTGTTTATCTTCAAAAAATGTTCCCCACTGACTCCATTATAGTCCTTGCATAGTTCCTGCCTTCTCTCTCCAGCTCCATAGCCTGTGGGTCCCATTCCAACACCCACTTCTCCCTGTGGAAGTAAACTGAAGGAGGAGAATCAGGCTGTGATACAGGCAGAGAGAAAGAAGACACGAAGATGATGCAGAGGCAATGAAGTGACTAACATCCAGCCAGTGCATCCTGTGGCCAAGGCAATAGTTGCCAAGGAGCCAGAGGCAGTAAAAAAAAAAAAAAAGAGCTGGGCTGTGGAACATGGGGATACTGAGAAACTATTCTTAAAAATGACAAGGAAATGAACTTCACCAAAACTTCGTTAATGCAGTTATGGTTGCCCAGCAGTGCCTTCTGCCATACCAGAATATTGAATTCAGCTATACCCAAACTTCTGAAAACCAGGACAAGAAGAGCTAGAGCAACAAAAACAACCCTCCGAAAACCAAGACATAGAAAATTAAGTTAAAGTACACATCATCCCCACAATGCAACCTTAACTCTTTTCCCTGGAGCTGGAAACAGCCATTGGAAATGGTTCGGGATGAGGTAGGGTGCAATAATAAGTAGATATGAGGAAGTTCTAAGAGAATGTGCCATTATTTGTGGTGGTGCAAAAATTAGAATTCCAGCATTTATCTGCATGCACTCCAACTACCTCACTTCTTGTACTGAACAGCGGAGGATTAGTTGGAGCAGATTGGCAGAACTTTTACACTAATACAAGGAGGAGTGCATGTTTACTTTGACGGATTAGGTATTCTTCATTTCAGCACTGTGTTCTGGAGGTTGTATCAGTAGAGATGCACATGGGGATTTTCTTGTCAACAGTCTGATGACATACAAAACAGTGGTCTCTGATGCTTAGTGAGGGGTAAGTGAAGGTAATGTCTCAGAAGGAATGCTCTGAGTCAGGGTGAAGGGGTGGTAATATTAAAAAAGTCTGGGATGGTTTGTGTGGAGTAGGCTCAGTGTTTGAGTATAGGCCAGGTGCAAGTAGCTCCTGTTTGCTACACCTGACCGAGACATGAGTCTTGCCTTAGCAAGAGAAGGTTTTAGACTTTGTCCTATAATGCCCAGGTGCTATATTCCCAGAGCACTGTGTAGCTTCTGTAAGAATAAAGTGCTAAAATGTGTATTATTGTGTCTTTGGGGCATTGCTTGAAGAGAACAGAATTAAGGTTGCGTTGAAGAGTGGAGGTATGATAAATTCATATTTCCTGGTTTTTAGAAGTTTGCATTACTTTCATTCTTTTCTTCATTTGCTAGTTTTCAGAGGCCTGAGTGAAGCTGAACTCAATGTTTTCAAAGGTTACAAGCCACCACTGTGCAACCTTAACTCTGTGGTTAACCAAGTTTTGGGACATTTAATTTTACTACTTCGCATCAACAAGGTGAATGGAGTGTTTTTACAACAGTCACAGAATATTCAGTTCAAGAAAGATACTTAAATTTTCAGCTTTTTCAGTCTTCAGTAGTCCTTATTGTTCATGAGAACACTTTGCTAAACCCTGAAAATGTTTTAAAGTAGTGAACTATATAAACAGACACATCATGTAAAATAGGAACAGCACCTTCAAGATTTTGGTTTCTCTAGTAATTACTGTCATTAATATTGTATACCTCAAGATATTTATGACTCAAATATAAATCAGTATTATGAAGATACCAAAGTTATATGTGTAAGTGGATCACACTAACAATCTTTGAGGAACATAGCAAATTTTCACATTTCACTTGTAACATCAGATTACAGTCCATAATGATTCCCCAGTGCAGGAAAAGTTAACACTGTGCTAGGGATAGATGTGACTTCCAAACTGCTTAATTTAAGGTTTTGTGGTACTATATAAAGAATTACTAGATAAATCACCACCAGATTTTAGCATAATTAAACTTTTACTATATATTCTACAGAGCAATTTAAAGAAGTGACTCTTTGCAAATTACGATGTTTAGATGCTTACTGGCATGTCAGAATTCAACGTATTTCTAAAGATTAGTGTGGGGATTTTTTTAAAGATCTCTATAAAATGACATTTTTCTAACCATTTAAATAGAAAAGCTTCAAAGATTTCATTTGTTCATAATTTTAGTTCATATCTGAAATCCCTACTTTCAACAGTAGAATTTTTGTATGCTTATAAGAAAACTCACTTTGGTGATTCTTGTTCAGATGACCTGTCAAAAACAATAAGCGAACATAGGATAAATATCTTCAGGAGAATTGGAACAAAGCACACCACAGTTCTAATCTAAGAAAAGAACTTCAAGGCCTGAGTGCTGTATTCACAGCAATTTAAGAACTTAATTTTATACAGGAAGTAGAACCTGAACCCAGGAAAATAATTAAAGATTTTGTGGATCACTCAAGAAATATTAAAACTAACCCCAGCATTTCATTTCTAGCACAAAGCCAGCTAACAAAAAAGTGTTATCTGCAATCATAAACTATACTGGTGCACAGCAGTGTCAGGATTCAGATCGTTTAATAAAATACTCCCTATCACTCAAGATGGAGCTCTTTGTCATGGCCCACAAAGACTACAGAAGGCACCGCTGATGCTCTGCAAAAATCGCATGCTGAAGACACAAATGAAAGTGGCACAGCCCTTGCAGTTAGCAGAGTTGCAGTATGCTTGTCCCCACAATGCAAGGCAGAACGGCTGCTTACACAGAAAGTCTGCAGACAAAAGCATAACTGCATGCACATGTGTACAACACAGTACAGGGAGCAAAGGCAAGTTAATTGGCCTTCATTACAGAGCAGCTTGACCAGGAAGAGCAGGGGTTTCTCAAGATTTTTTCAAATGTGGTCCACATCTCAATAGAGATATTGACTTGTGGACAGCTCCTCTCCCATTCATGATTGCATAAATCACTCCGGTCCTCTCTGCAATCATAAAATCCCTGTGTCAACTACAACAATTGCTTAAATGGAAAAGACTAGGAGAGTATTTAATATATGTTTAGCTTTTCTTAATGTGATGGAAAAACTGAAAGCAAGGAGGAGAGCCAGCACCATGTCACCAGTCAGGTCTCTGTGGACCTTCAACTGCTCCACAGATCACTGGTGGTCCACAGTCTTGGAAACAACAGGGTTGCATATAGCAAGACCAACAGCCCCACCCAACTATAAAGAGGCATAGACCTTGATGGTTCTGGTTCCCAACCCCAACACAGCAGCTTGGATGAAGATTTGGAACACAGATCTAGAATAAACACCCTAGAAGTAACTGCCTTCTTCCAAAAGTCAGGAAAAAGTTCTCTTACTGAAAATTTTCCAACACATTTTGGTCTATCACGGATGTTTTTACTTAAGTGGGCCAGATCACTATATCAAGGTCCAGAGATGAAAAGATTGGTAGTTTTGTCATTTTCTGCAAGAGCAGATGTTGCTATGGGCAGAGCCCTATGTGCTTTGTGATTTTGCTGCCATGGAATATGCTGATAAATTGTGCTCCAGAATATAAGTCTTCTTTTAAAATATTTTAACAAATATTTGCATATCTAATCCTTCTGTAATATGAACCAAGCATAAAAACAAATTGGACAGAGATGACTGCAGACAGCCTGAAACATTTCCGGAAGTATAAATTGCTCCCTTTATCTCAATGGTGTATCAACCTGAAACCTAATAATGACAATTTAAAATGCCAACAGTGTTAATTATTTCACTTTTGATCACTGAAACATACAACTAATGTTCTTATCCCATGGTTCCATCTGCTGTCCCAAACTTTCTCAGCTGACAAAACCTCTAGCTTCCCTCCGGAAGACCTTTACAAGACAGTTATGCATTCTGAATAAAACAATTCTGCAGAAAAGTGAATTTTTTTTAAAAATAGCAAATTAAACACGAGGAATACCGTAGCCAGCGTATGATTCATTTTTATATTTAATTCAGTAAAATTGATTTTTAAACGTATCTGAAGCTACCACCGATCTTCTGCCTGTGTAACTTACATGCTTTATATACTGCAGCATTTGAACTTGTTTGACTCATCAAAGGGAGAGAAACAGTTTGGAGGGTGGAGAGGTGGACATAGAGGGCAACTCAGTCAGGGCACAGAGCATTCAGAACTAGGGTGTGGCAGTTACTAGACATGCTCAGTAGCTGTTTCTGAACCTGTACAGGAACTTTTCATTGTGGTCAATACGCCTGGTGGGTCACCCTCCAAAGCAGAGCATATCAGAGCATCAGGTGGGGCGGTGGGGAAAGGTTATGAATATATGAGTTAAAAAGAGAGCCCTGTGGACTCAGCAGCTGATCATCATAGGACCAAGAGATGTGCTGTGAGGGCTGCATCCCAGTCCTGTAGAACTTTGGATGCAGAGCAATGCTATTCCAGCTTTACTTACTAGAGAAGCCCTCCATTGGGATGTTTCCTCCACTGTGGTCTATGTTATAGACCTAGAGGGAGAGCTGAGGGGAGCATGTTTTACCCTAGAAGCTACAGAGCCAGTGGAACTTATATCCAGCTATCAGCTACCTGCTTTCAACTGGGATTTTGCCTCAGTTAAAGAGAGAGAATGGGGCAGAGCTGAGTTTTGGAGAGGGTTTGTAAATTCTTGCCTGACTTAGCTGAGCTTACTGGGAGAAGATGGTGCCCTATAGAGTGAGAGCCTCACAGAGATCAAGGGAATGGATGTTTTATATGCTGATCCCAATATCTGTGCCATTTTGAACACAGGCTGCAGATTTCTGTTTCCTCGGCAACTGAGGAGCAGTCAGCTGTTAACCCAAGGGTTGGAATACGACTAGCTATGGAGATCCCCAGACTGTTTGCTGACAGGTTCTGAAGTGTTGAAAGACAGATGTTCCCACTCTTCTCAAGCTCTGGGGAATCCAGGTGACACACAGAACATATTATGGCCACACTACAGAGACTAAGAAAACATCTCAGAGAAAATTAGAGGGGAATGTGTTTGTGTGTGTGTGTGCGCTAAAGTATAAAGGATGTTATCTTGAAACTTTATATTTAATGTATGTAACAGAAACAAAGTGGGGAACTCTGTAAAAGAAACACCAATAGATTTACTAATAGCTTTTCTTTAAAGGTTATTCATAGTTTTCCAAATACCATTTACCATATTTTATACTGTTTACTGTGTGCATTAAATGTTTTAGTAAGACAGTGTATGGCAGTCTCTCTTTGAAATGGACTTGGAACTATTAACACCTGTTATCAGGGTTTCACATACAACAGCCGTAGGGTTTGACACTGTGCAATGCTTTCTGAAAAGTCACAACCAGAGAGAACTCTAGTCTGTGCTTCAGGGAAGAGTTAAACTGAGGTGCAGAAAGAAGGGGAGTTTAACAGAGTTACACATGCTATTGTTTTACCATCCCACAAGTGCTGCACCAGAATGCTACAGCCATCTATGGGCCTTGCCACAGAATTTGGTTAAGGGGTAATAGAAAACCAACACTGAGGAACTAACTGCACACCACCACTGGGAGAAGCACTAGTGGACACCCCACCTCACCCCACCCGCAGGTCATATTCTAGGGATTACAGTCTCATTGAATAGGGAATATCACTGTGAGAAGGAGATATTCTATATGAGAGTAGTTCTCCACATTGTCTTCTGCAGACCTCTCAGTCTACATGATGGTCTTTCTTTTACAATGTCCTCTTTCAACTTCCTAGTCCACTGCCAGACACTTGTTGCTTAGATATTTTATTCTACAAATCACTAGAAAGGGATCTGCTGACCACAGTTTGGTCCTAAATTATGAGTTCATGGGACAGGTGCTAGGGACCTCAAAGAGCACTGGTTTCAGGGAGCTGACACAATGAACACATGGCTTTTCCAAGGATTTTTTTTTTGCCTGCCTGTTCAAGCAAACTAAGCTAAGTAGATTAAATATCATATTACCTGCGAGCAACTTTGTCACCTTGTTTTGTGCATGTCTCCCTCTCCTCCTCAATGTGATGTCATCTCCCTGCATCCCATCACTGTATCTAACCTGGATTGTAAAATCCTTAGGGCATTATTGTTATTTTTGGTTATGTCCCTGAAAGGTTCCAAAAGAATGCTGTTGTTGTTATAAACAAATGTTAATAATAAGAGCGGCCAAGCCTTTTTTGATCTACAACTCTGCAGATGGTGGATCTGGGACAACAACTATCTACATCCTTATATAGTAGTTATCTCTAGAAATAGCATGTGTAAATATACCTGTGTATTTCAGTTAGTTAAAAACAATTACATGAACTGTGGTGATTAAATTAGAAGTAATTAAGTGATATTGTAGAAAATATTATAATGAATGCCAAATAGTAATGAACTTTAAAAGGAAAAAAAAAGTATTTTTGCATTCAATTGTTTAAAACAGATCAACTATATTATATAATGCCATCTGGGAGTAAAAGCCATAATTAAGCATTGCTGCAAACTAGATCCATAGTGTCTATAATGATAGAACTGGAAGGACTTCGAGAGGTCACCTAGTCCAGTCCTCTGCACTCATGGCAGGACTAAATTATATCTAGACCAAGATCTTAAAATTTATTTAAAAGGAAATCAACTATTAAAGCTTTCACATTAAGTGAGGTGACATACCAAAATAATTCTTTTTTTAAAAATTGGTCACTCAAAATAGTGCAGGTGTAGAAGGTTATACCATACTTACACCTCACTAAGTGTGAAGAAGAAAAAAAGGTGGGTGGGAGAGGAGGTAATAGTTTTATTTCATTAAGTCACTTTAATCAATTTTTTTCCCCAAAGCCTCAAACCTCTGAACACCAGAAAGTAAACATGCTGAATGTCCCCTCAGACTGCTCTGCTCTTGTAAAGAGGAAGGGGTACTAAACTGAAATATAAAAGAATCCTGTGTGCAACTGAATACCCTTTTTGGCTTACAATAAGAGCAGAGCAGAGGAGTATGGTGGAGGAACAGTGCTACGGTGACCATGTTATGGTGCCTTTTAATTCAACTTTGATATTTTCTCAAAACAGAATAAAAAAAAAAGGAATAACTACCTCAAGTCCTTTTTGCTTTTCTAACATTTAAACAAACATCAGGCACAAAAATTAGACTGAAGAATGTTAACCATTAGGATAACATGAAGGTAAGGAGGAGTCTGGTGGCACCTTAAAGACTAACAGATTTATTTGGGCATAAGCTTTCATGGGTAAAAAACTCCACTTCTATCTGAAGAAGTGGGTTTTTT